TTTAAATAAAATGATTAATGGAAGATCAAAACTTTGTGAATACCATGATCGAATCTGAAAAGGTGAAATGGGTTTCCTTTGCTGTTGTTATCACAGGTTTTCTAGGAAATAACAAATATACAAATTATAAATACATTGTGGCAAACATGCTAGAGAAAGTTAGAGAAAAAGATTGCAATAAGAGTACAAAATTATACTTTTTACACTCACACATCTGCACTATGTTCCCGAAAATCTTGGGTAGAGGTTCCACCAAGATATAAAATAAGTAGAACGCATATGTCAAGATCGATAGAACGTTGCAATGATGGTAGTTACTGCTGGTAAAAAAACATTTAATTTTAACAAGAGTTACTTTTTCGCTTAGAAATAAATAATCAGGCAATCATTTCATTAACAAAATACACTGAGAAAAAAGTTATGACCTTTTGAAATCAGAAGAGGAACTGAAAACTGTAAAATTTTTATTGTTTAAATTAGCATCCCGTGTTTTGGAAACACCCGGCAGTCAGAAATACTTGCTAAGATTTTGGACAGACCTTTTGGAGACAGCTGCAACGTTGGACGTTAATTTTCATGTACCTTATATTTGATTAGATATTTAGATATATAGATATTAGATATATAGATATTAGATATTAAATGTTTTTGGGCTAATCACACTACTAAATAGGTTTTTTTTATTGTTATATACGTGTCTCAGAAATATGAGTATTTGGACTGTCGCTTAAAGAATACAATTTTAATACCAGTTGTAACATCTTTTCCTTACCCTTTTCAACGACCTATTAAATCACGAAACGGCAATAAGTTTTCTGCGAAAAGCGGATTTTCGATTTTCTGCATCCTGAAAACGACGTTGATTAAAAAACTCAACAAAGCTTTTCAGGTATTTAATTGCACACACACACAAACGGCTCAAAGGTATATCCATAATTACGGAAACGCGTCCTTTCCATTGACAACATTTGTTATGCGATCCCGGTGATTTACAAATCGGATATGAAATATTTACAGTATTAGTAACAGTATTAGTCGCGCTACTGCTTTGCTTGGTGATAGTTGTGGCGTGCAACGGCATAATTGTAAAACAATCGTAGCCTTGGTGGCAGTCGGTTCATAAATCAGGAAAAAACGAACCAAGTGTAATAAAATTGCATCGATACACAAGGAGGATATATATATCGAAAACAACTTAACACCAAACGAAAATTGCACTACTATTAAACTACTATAATTGGACTGCATTAGGCTCAATCACTATGTAAATTCAGTCAGGTTCAGCTCGTTGTTAATTGTTAACGGACAACATATATTAAGTTTAATTATTTTCATTTTTAAAAATAGTTTTGCGTCAATCAACTTGTTATCTGCAGGTCACTTTGCCCTGCGTTTTTTTTAATTCGCTATTACAGACAGCTTAATTGCTAGTCGATATTAAAAGGCATTAATCTACAACAACTCTTGTCCAATGGTATACAAATGGAAATGCGTTAATTCGACCCTACGCGCTATCGCCAACTAAATACCTTGCCAAATACCAAGCGCCTCTGCGGGCCATTTTCTTTCACAATAATTCGAAACGTTAAAAATAATTATATATATATATATATATATATATATATATATATATATATATATATATATATATATATATATATATATATATATATATATATATATATATATATATATATATATATATATATATATATATATATATATATATGTGATGACACTATATTCCGGGATATCATCCGTTCGCTCGTTGAACTCCGACTGGAATCCTGCATCCGACTGGAATCCTGCAAATCTTGCATCCGACTGGAATCCTGCAGACGTTTCGCCAAAATCTCACTTGGCATCTTCAATGCTCGCGCTCCGAAAACACTTCGAACACTGTGACCTGGACGCGCGGCCTCTGAAGATGCCAAGTGATATTTTGGCGAAACGTCAGGCGAATGATCCTACTCCAGGGTCAAACAACGAACGGATGAACACCCGGATTACCACCTATACATATATATATATATATATATATATATATATATATATATATATATATATATATATATATATATATATATATATATATATATATATATATATATATATATATATATATATATATATATATATATATATATATATATATATATATTCTGAAGAGTTGTTGTGCAATAAGACACGACTGATATATAAAAACATAAATAAATTAATCGGCTTGCATTTCATTGCATTGCATTGCATTATATACAATGTTATATCGTATGTTTAAAAAAATACACATACGATATAACATTGTATATAATAGTATATTTTAAAAAATAATTATGTCCATAACAATTGTTTTACTTTATTTGTTTACCTAATCTTAGAATAATTAATATCCCAACTATCTACTCACCTCTATCATGTATAATTACTATTATATTTATTATTTTAGCCAAACTCGTCTTTTTTATTTCTTTTTCATATGTGAAAATATCATATAGTAATAAAATATTTTTATCTTTATTAAATGTAGACAATAGCTACTAGTATATCATTTAAGAAGTATATTTTTTATATTGCAATGTATGTGTACTAAATTACAGAAGGGGAAACTTCTTTAATTCAATTTCTTTGAATGATGTAATGCGAAAATTATTAATTTATAAATGCAATGATTAAATTGATAAATAAACAGAGGTGTAAACTGTATCCTTCTATAACAATGATTCATTATAAAAATAAATAGTTAAGCAAAAAATATTTAAAATTAGGAACTTCGGTATTAATATATTATTAACATACAAAATAAATGCAATATATGTGTGATAAATAATAAAAATACCACTAAATGATAGTAACAATAATAACAATACATGAAATAATTTGAATCTTTTGCCCGCATTTGCACCCAAGTATTATTTGTTTAATAAAATGTTGTGGAAATGTTTTGGACACCACAAAATTATTGGTATAAAAAACATAAAAATGGGGTAATAAATTCTGAGGAATATAAATATACGCAACTGTGAAAAAGACTGAAAATTAATTTTAAAAATATACTTATATATGAATCGTCTCTATAGCCGAATTTTATTTCGGTAAACAAAGGTCGTGAATTTGAAAAATTACTGGTCCCTTTTTTGGAAGAACTGTTGCCGACTAACTTGTATAAATTTTCTATTATCCTTTAAGCAGTTGGTTTATTTGTAAAAACAGTAAACAAATGAAGAATGAAAAAAATTATTCTGATAAAATCAATTGTTCAATTAAAATTTTAAAAGCTACAAATTAAAAGTGATCCTGGAAAACGACGAAATAAAAAATCAATCTAACAGTATTTATATCTCTAAAGTATACACTTTTTGGATTAATCTTGTATTGTTCGATTACGAGTTTAGCTAGACAAAGTATTGAGCTTTTTAAAGCAACCCAAGGGCTAATTAGCAACATCGAACGATAACGAAACATTCGCCAACCCTCTGAAAAGGAACCATCTTTTACGTGGATAGGAAATAAAGAGGTCCATTAACTGTCATCTGTTCGGTGCTATCAATTGATCTGTCTGTCTTGCTTATCACTTGGTTACTTTTCCGCTTTACACGTTCGCGTTAAATTCCCCAAAGTTGACGAGATCTTTCAGCGGCGCGCACTAAAATTTTATACTCCTAATCCCAATTAGATTTTTAACCTAATTTTTAACGAATAAATGACAAAAAAAAAATCGGCGGAAAAGTGCCTTTTACCATTTCCACGCTTTGATAGTATTACTTCAGTAAACCGGGGCCCTGTCTAACCCGCGGCGATTTACAATTGCTACGCCCCTGCCGGAAAGTATGAAACGAAAAATGATCATCTGCCCTGTTGGGCCACGTTTTGAAATTGCTTCGGATTTATCTCCTCCATCATCAACCGCGTAACTTTTTAACCTCGAACTGACGGATCATTTTCTAATTTAGATATGCCTGCTCCGTATGAATTAATGCTTTTTCTAGACTGTAGGTACCCCAAGAAGAGCATAAAATGTTCTTCGCAAATTCGTTTGGGATTCGAGACTTTTAATGGGATATCAAGTCGGAAGCACCAGTCTGATTATTACATTTTATATATTATATATAATATAATATATATGTTGTGGGTACATGCAAACAGGACTCTACGTCGAGTTTTTGCCAATGGTGGTGGATTTTGAAAAGTATTCTCTTTCCAGTACTGCATGCCTCACCTTTTTCAAAACATTAATTTGTTTGCAATACGCACACATTTCTTTATTCAGGAATGATTATTAAGTATTCTAATATCTTATCGTTTCAAAAATCAAATCGTGGATGGTGCAAAAACAGTATTTGAAGAACTGCACAGAGACATTAGTTGGAACGACCTAACACTAGAAAATCTAAAATATTGACGAACCTTCTTCTTCCTTCTCTTTAAAATGTTGGAATTGCTAGCAGAAAATTGATTTTCTTTTGTTTATCATGTAAATATCGAATAAATGAATTATTTTTCCATTCACCACACTAACGAACTAAGTTTAGTTTAGAGAAATTTTGGACACTATTCTCGAAAATATAATAATCTGGAACTAAACATGATACTTCTACCATTTTAATAAATATGTAATCTAATATGTAAACATGTAAATCTAAAATAAACTATTATCAAAATTAATGAAAAAGAGATGTTTTCTTCTCATAATAAAACCATATACGAGAGATTTTCATCGATAGATTTTTTTTTACTATGATCTTAGAAAATTTGATATACGGCAACATTTAGATGTTAGAACATCAAAGAGGAATTCTTTTAGCAGCTGCGTCACCAAATCGGTATCGATTTAATTTATTTAACTTCCAACAAAATGGCAGCAAGTCACCCCAGTTGCAAAATGTCGATATGGTCTTGATTCAAAAACTACCCCAGTCCTATTATGACAACGCTAACGAACTTTTGAATGAAATGGTCTTATTTAGATTGAAAAATAATTAACTATCGAAATTCATTTCCAGGCAAATCGATTCCCGTGCACTGCATAGTAGAAGCCATATCAACATTAGAAGAAAATCGTTACCAGCATGGGGTGTGGCGTCGAAGACCGATGGTCGAGACCGACACTTACGTCATCATCCCCACGGGTACCCCATTTCAAAACTTAGTCCAGGCAGCGCTTTACCGTTTGGGGTATTCTTCGGAAAGCGCTGCCGCTGCCAAAGGGTCTGTTATTATAAAAAATTGGAAAGCGTTGACGTTCGAACAAATATCCGACGACCCTTTGGTGACCGTCGGGGATATACTGGGCGAGTTGACGACCATTGCCACACTCAGGATTCAAGTGTTTCGGGGGAGGCCCGGATCGTGGGCTGACATCAAAGACAAGTTGCTGAGATATTTGTTGTTGCAGTCCCACAGCGTTCTCATTTCCTCCGGATGCCCGTTGGACGAGGTGAGAATCTATATGTTATATGTAAAAATAGCGCAAAGTCCGTTTCAGACACTTTCCTATATTTCTAATCTGCAATTAAATTTGAATGCTCCTATAAATGACGTACTTCACAATTATTTAAGAGCATTGGTAGGTAGAACCATTTCGAATAATACTTCTACAATATTTAAATGGTATTAATACCATACATACATGTTAGTAGCGGTTTACTGGTCTTAAAATGTTAGGGATACGTCTGTGTTATATTATAACGTCTAAACAGTATTACAAAAGCCTGTGAAAGTTTATTGGAAAAAAAATCTAAAATTTTAATTAAATTTCTATGATTAAACGAAAATTTTCAATTTTTGCTTGCTTCAATAAATGCTTCCTTTTATGAATGCAATGAAAATTTTAAGTAAATTGTATCCTTGATTCCCATTTTTTAGGTTGATAATAAGTATAGTACAATTTAAGTCCTCTGCCAGAAAAGAATTTATAAAAACCAATAATCGATCGGTCAAAGTAGGAAAATCGAGCTTAATAATAGAGGCAGGTGGTTTTTCGGTTCCGTTACTGTTGCTAAAAACGTGCGAGAAATACCGAAATTAAATATTCACGTGGCTTTATCACTAATCTGACGATGAAAATATGAATTTAAGTTGCATATTTCAATCATATTATCTACGGTAATCTAATCTTGTACGGTTGATACATTTCTTCTTTAAATACGCACAAAGACAACATCATTATTTTAGGAAATTAAACTGAGGTGGCTTTTACTTGATGAAAATCCATTTATCAAAATGACATTTGATAAAGACTCGGTTTTGTCGAAACAATTGTCATGTCAAAATTATTTTCAAAATTTCTCACAAAAACAACAATATTTACTCATTTTTCCCTTAAATTAGGTATGAGGTTAGTTTTATTATCAACAAGAATTCAACGAATATTTTATAACACTCTCACGCGGGGTGTAGGGGGGAGGGTTTGGCAGCGCGAAGGACCGAGAAATCTGGATTGCGAGTTCCGTGTCGCGAGGCTTTTGATCTTATTAATACAATGAAATAATGCTCGCTAATCTTATTAAAAGCGAGGTTACGACTATTATCTGCACCCTTAATACATTCGTTCTCTTTCAATTCTTAAGACGTGATTCATAACGGGGTTACATGGCCGGGGGTTTAACGCGGGGGTGTTTATAAACGAAAATTTTCTTGTTTGTGTATTTTTCCGTAGCCGACGATGCGGTAGACTTTGTCTCGAAGGACTTGACGGGCGGAAAATAACCCGGACAACGTCACCACTAATTACAAACGTTTATACATCATACCTGAAATTTTCGAAATTTAAAGTCCACGACCGTATTAAAACGTACGATTATAAATACAAACGCATGCAAATGTTACGTACGTATATCGTTTTAATAACGCACGTTTAGTGGCTAATTTAAATAATAAATAATCGTAACTTGACGCTTCTTTTATAACATTATCCAATTAAGTTGTCGTGAGAGAGGCTTTTAGATGACGACGAGATGCCACCGACTTAAATAATTAAAAGCAAATATCAATTTCGAATTAAACTTTTTATTTTATCGATGTTTTAACTTTACGATGGTCGAAATCAATTATGCAAATGTTATTATTAAGCTTATAGAATCCCGTTGATCGCGAAGACAATTAAAGAAATTCGTTTCTGTGGCCCGATGTTAAGGATCATGCTGATTGGTATTTTATTAAAACTCGGTATTAATTTATAATAGACGCAGATAGTAATGTTTTACAATAACGTCCTATAATTCAAAATCGCGTGGGTCGATGGTTATGGCACCGCCCGTTAGAAATTTATATTAAACCCACTTTCATAAAAAAAAAGAAGCTATTTCACCGATAAGAACGTTTCGTCACTAAGTTAAGTGAATAGCGTCGTTTTAACAAACATAAGCTCCGTTTTAATTTCTAATTATAAGAGGTGCTTTTTATTTCAACTCAATAACAATTATCGCTGTGATTGAAAAACATATTTTTTCCGAAAAAAACCCTATCGTAGTAGTGTCATCTTTAAGAAAAATATGTGTATTAATTGATATTTTATGTTTCGTTTAAAGCAAGTAAGTAATAAGTATCCATTAACAACGCAACATATCAAATCATTTTCCACGACCATAACATAAGGAGGAATAGTATTTATATATATTGTATATAATTGTAATTATAGAGAGAGAACAGCTAAGTTATTCATTTTTGCAGCAAATCGAAAATATACAGGATGGGTTTAAAAGTAGATACCCAATTCCTTTTTTTAATTCATCACTACTTTTTCTGAGCAAAGGAATAAATAACTTGTCAAAGAAATTACTTTATTGGGTGTTGAAAATGCGCACCATCAACTTCTTTGCAAATCAGTGCTCTGGATATTTTCCTTATACACTTTTGATTTTAAATATTCCATGAAGAAAAAATCCAGAGGAGAAATATCAATTCTCGCTCTCTTACCAAATTTTATGAGAAATTGATATAATTTTACCTTGTCTGCCTTCTTCAAGAAAAATATGTGTATTAATTGGTATTTTATGTTTTATTTAATTATACTTTAAAATGAACCACAGGGCCATTACAAATAAATAAGTGACAAGTCTAGTTTAGAGGTCGTTAAATTGTTCTCTACTGTCTATACATTTAATTGGTCGATGAAGTGATCTTACTGATTAATATTCTAGGGTCTGTTCTTCTACTTACCATTAAAAACTTGTTCATGGTATAAATGAATGGTATTGCTGATTTTGTATTAATTCAGATTTTTTTATAAAGTTAGAACTAAATTGGTTTTCGGTTGACAGAGAGGTTCAAAAAGAATAAAACGAGGGGAGGAGTTATCGCATTAGTAAAAATAGTAGTAAGTGGAATACTTAATACAATAAGTTCTTTAGATTTACTAAAAAATTATGAATTATTTCTCGAATTTAGTTCGCATTTGTATTATTGATTTTATAGTACCTTGAAGTCAAATGAACATTTTTCATTTGCCATTTCTCTTCAGGAATGCTTAAAAAATAAAAATAAAAAATATCCCGTTTCCGTATTTATCAATTAATAGTCGGAGAACGTTGATGAATTGATGAATGAAATTGATCAGTGCACCGAATTCGACTTAATAACTGAAGTGACATTAATCCTTGTAACACACATGTTTTTGCCTACATCTCAAATACAGATCGTTTGTTTTTTGGAATCTGATTTTTTATTAACTCCTTATTTAAGTTATTTGAAGTAATGATAGTAATGGATTCAAGCTAACCAATCCAGTGGCGTCCTGGGAGGTTTTTTACCCATGTAATTATCAAGCCGCTTACCCATTTTAAGTTTTGTAATTTCTTGTCCCTTAGCAAAAATTAAATTAAATTAGTGTCCTTTCATAATTTATTATTATTTAAAAAAATAAAAAATATCCGTTTTAAGAAGTATATTCTACATGTGTACATGGTTCTCTCAGAATGAATAAAATCACAAACACAAACACACCGCACAATAACCCAAACCTCAAAGAGTTTGCTAAGAATTTATTTTTAAAAATTTAATAAACCTCCAGGCAAAAATTTACTTCTATAGAAATACGACCGTATAAATTCTGCGAAATATCCCGCTTTAATGGAGGGAAGATTAAGGTTAGTTACCCGGGATTTTCGCGATTTTCGAAATAAGTTAAAAAGCAGCCAGCTAACGGCAGCTTATAAATCATAACATTCGCTCGCTTTTCATTTGAATGTAGCTGAACCGAAGATAAATTCACGGAAAACGCGGGCTCGAACGTCTGCTTCCAAAACGGCCTAATCTCACCCTGAAAACATATGTATAAACAGTTGCTAATACGCGCCCCGTATTATTTTCCCTCCTTAACAGCTTTAGATAAGCCCTCTTTTATACTATAGGCGGCGTAAGATTTAGTCTTAGTCTAATTTAAACTTGCTAAAGACGTTTTGAATTTGATAATTTAATCTTGGTTACATTTATGTTTATGTATCGTAATTTTAATGGTTTATTTTCACCTTTGATCCGTTTTCTAAATAATGCTTTTTCGGAGCTTCAGAGAGAAAAAAAAGCTGGAAAGTTTTTTACTTGACCACAATGATAGTTGGATATTGGCCAATAATACTACTCCAGATCAAATTTGCTTATTAATTGACGTTTCGACCTCTGTTGCGTCATTCCGGGACACCGTTAACTTAAGGTATACGAGGTGTGTTCAAAAAATAAGGTGATTTTTAAGTTTTATCAAAGAGTCAAAATTAATGTTGTCCCCAGATATGGTACACTTGTGCCAACGTTTTTTCCAATCCTCGAAGCACTTCCGGTAAGCACTTTCTGGTATAGCCTTGAGTTCTTCCAGCGATTTTTTCTTAATCTCCTTTCGTTCATAGGTTTCTTGAGTTCTGGTTAGTTTTGGGGTCATATCCGGTGAATATGGTGGCCGAGACATGATTGTGGTTTTGTTGTTGGCCAAAAAGTTAGACACAAACAATGATGAGTGAGCAGGTGCATTATCGTGATGCAAAATGCACATTTTCAGACGGTTTCTTCGTATTTCTTCTCGCAAACGGCGTATAACTTCAACTTCAATACTCTTTATTGAATGTAAGACCTTTTGGTAAGAACTCTTGATGTACCACGGCACGATAATCGAAGAAAACAGTCAGCAAAACCTTGATATTTATGTTCATCATCACTGACGTCGTTTAACAGTTCTTGAGCGATGCTCTTTCGACGGTCCTTTTGTTCAAAATTATGCACTTTCGGTACAAATTTTGCTACTACACGTTTCATACCCAAAACTTCGGAACTTCTTCTTCAACGCTTTCATCAGTTATCGACGTGCTATGGCGTCCAAAGCGAGGTTTGTCATCGGCGTCTTTTAGGCCATCTTGGAACAGCTTGTATCACTTATAAACATATGCCGTTGTCAACATTTAAAGTGTTTGGATTCCATTTTTTACAAAAAAAAATTAAGCAAAATCTTCGTTCCATTTTTTTTACAGCAGAAAATTGTCGAGCAAACAAAACACGTCTAATGCTTCTGTCTCACAAAAAAAATTAAACGTGCAAACTGACTGAATTACAAAAGTCACCTTACTTTTTGAACACACCTCGTATAACAACTATAAAATTTAATGAGTATCAATCATTTCAGAGGGCTAATGTATATGAATTATAAATTTTGGTTGTAATTATAGAAGGCTGTGGGCTACATTTAAAAAACATTTTAAAAATATTCTGCGAAAAATCAGAAATTTGTTTCATCTACACATAACAATAAACACAGCTTACAAATGAACGAGTTAATTAGGCAAAAATTGTTAACGTCTTCAATAAGGCAATTTCATTTTATTTATTTCTTAATTAATGTTTTGTAAATTATTTCCGAACATTTCACTCTGCTTTATTCATTAAATCCCTGACCACAGAATGAGCAGCAGATGTACGTTTGTAACCCGTAGAATACATCAATCACCATTTTATCTATTTAAAAAAGCAAATTCTGTAGAAACATACAGACATGTTAGAAATTATAACAAATGAAACTATTCTTCCTATCCGTCATCTTAAATGTACAACTCGCTACCAGACTCATTAAAAAATATTTATGCTACTGTTATATACTAGGTTAGTAACAATTACCGGAACGCCTAAATGTATCCAAAACGACCAAAGCTGGAACGATAAAATTCAATACCTAGAGGTTCCCGTACATGCAGAATTAAGAAATGCTAACAGTGTTGGCAGATTTAATACTTTTATTTAAAAAAATTGCAACTCAGAGTTTTGAAGGTTTTTGAACAACAGAAAACTTTCGTAGCGTATCAGAATTCAACATGCATGTTGAAAACCACCAGGTACTAAATTTTCTCGTTCCAGCTTTGGCAGTTTTGAAGATTAAGGGTTCCGTTATTTGTCACTGGAAAAGCGATACTGCCGTAGCTCAGCAATTGATATAAATAAAATCCTGAAATCACAGGATCCTGCAAAATTCGACATTCGCAATTCATTGTAATATAAAAAAATAGGGCATTCTAGTTAAAATAAAATAATGACGTGTGACGTAAAACTGGTAAATCAGACAACATTGCTGTGAGCATTTTTGAATCCTACATGTTAAAAAACCCTTTGAATTTTATCGTTCCGCACTAGGCTGTTTTGAAGATATTTATGCGCTCTGGTACTTTTGACTAGCCTGGTATAATAAAGTAGAAAAAAATATTTAATTGCTCTCATGTCATTTTTTATTAACTTTACAGATTTAACTTAATATGTATTGTTTTTTTTTTTTCTACTCTTTCTTTGTCTGTTAAAAAGTAAACTCATTAATGTAATCATTAAAAAGAAAACCGAAAAATGAAATTATTTGGTAAAAAAGAAAATGCGTTCAATCAAACAGGTATTACGTTGATGTAGTCGAAATAAAAAGAGATTGCGCAAAACAGGTATGTACGTTATACGACCGAATCTTAATCATATTGTTTATTTAACGTCTTAAGTTTACTGAAAAAAAAATTGTTATTATATTAAATACATAATTAGTGGAAGGGAAAACACGATTATATATAAATTTAATAATAAGTCAGTTTGTCGTCAGTCAGTATTCAAAATCATATAAATGAATCTTTTTTCAGTGTTAATATTTAATAAATACATAAATACGTGATGCAACAAGGCCGGGACAAATTGCTAATGCACCTTTTTAATCCCCATCTGTCGTTCGCAGTTATTATTAATGCATTGATTTAGATTTCGGAAGGTTATTTTAAAATGTCTGTTTTTTATTTTCTGCCCTTAAACAACAAACATATAGCCCACTCCTCAAGTTAATTCCTTAATAAAAAATTCTCTATGACGCGCTACGCACATACAAAAACACCAATTCCTAACCCCACAACGGATTAAACCTTAACCTTCTAGACCAGGTCGGATGGGAACCATTGCACATGGCGGACGTTTGTTCCAGCACGGTTCCAAAAAAGTTAGAAAAGAAAAATTTTGTTCGGTACATCTTTTAATTGATTGGTTGGATGCATATAGATATGTGAAATAGTGCTTGTTTTGAGTGAATGTCTATACATTTGTATGCTGTATTGTTCGGTTAGCGGATGTCTTATATTCATGCTGGTATGCAGGTCAGATGGGATCGGATATCCCGTATGAAATAATTGCTGCAGCCGTTAGATGAATCGATCGTCATTTTATAACTAATTACTAAATTTATTAAACTGTATGAATATGTTAACAAACTTTGGGGATGATGGAATAGTCAAGACCCTTTCTATACGAAAGCATTCAGGAATTTTCAATTATATTTGCCAATATTTGCGAACTGGCCAAATTGCCTGAGTTGCAAGGCCAAACCAGTAAATAAAAATTTGACTCACGAGTTTATTTGACACGAGTGGAGCGCAGCGGAGTAAAAAAATACAATTACATGCATACACATATATACATATACGTACACACACATATGATTAGAAAATATCTACAATAATAATAGGTATAACAACGTAATAAACAAGACCTGTAAATATTTTGGTGCGAAACGGATCTCAGTTCTACTTTTGATTTCAGATAGTGCTGGCGCAGATATGTCGCAGCAATTCGACATCTACGGGCGTGTGCCCGGAATTATCGGAAGACACGAGACGCAAATTCGACATGTGGTGGGCTACGCAATTCAATTCCCAATCGTCAGCGAGCCGATCCCAATTCATCCCGTCTTATACCAACCAGTACTCGGTACCGCCCCAACCGACTCCGCCACTCGAACGTCCCTTAACGGAAACCACCCATCCGGCGATGCAAAACGTGCACAGCCAATTTCCGACTCAAAAAACCCGCATGAGAACCAGCTTCGATCCGGAACTAGAGCTACCGAAACTGCAACGGTGGTTCACGGAGAACCAGCATCCGAGTCGACAACAAATCCAGCAATACGTCAAAGAATTGAACGGCCTTGAGTCGCGACGCGGACGTAAACCTTTAGACATCAACAACGTCGTCTATTGGTTCAAGAACGCGAGGGCCGCACAAAAAAGGGCCGAAGTTAGAAACGTCACGCCGAATTTGCACCTTTCCGTCAACGGTTACAACAACCACAGCCCGACCAACGGCGGTTTTCTAATGGCGGAAAACTATTTAAACTCGGACCGATTGAAAAACAACGTGCAGAGGCGTGCGCCGCAAAATTCACACACGTCCGACGAATTTTCCAATCCCGGTTCCGACATGGAAGACGAAGATTTGAACGAAGTGGTGCATTCGCCGAGTCCGTCGGTGCCATTGTCGTTGACGACGCCGCGGAAGTCGAATTCGCGCGAACCCAGTCCCAAGAACGAAATCTCGTATTCGCCGGCCCGAGACATTCAAGTAGGTAAAACATCGAACGTTTGGCGTTTAACGTCGAACGCCCTAATCGAGCGTTTTGTTTGCAGACTGAAAAATGCAAAGAAGAACAACAACAACAAAGAGCGAACTACACGGACAAAGCATTATCGAACGAAGAGGACGACCGCGAAACCGAAGACGAGTCTAAGAGTCGCAACGAATCGAATGTTTCGCCTAGCAGGTCGATTACGCAACGTTTCTGTAACTCTCCCGATATAAACGCCAGACAGTTGATACCGCGCAACCACGAAGGTCTGGATAGGTTAACTTCGGGGTTTCCTCTCGTGCCAAACACGATGTTCAGCCATAATATCATGTACATGAGCCAGTACATACCGGGTCTGTCTCATTCGGCACCGTCGAGCGCTCTGAGCATGTCGAGCTTGACCGTCGACGAAAGACGTAAAAGAAATCGAACGTTTATCGATCCCGTGACGGAGGTGCCAAGGCTCGAGCAATGGTTCGCTATCAACACTCACCCGTCGCATAATTTAATCATAAAGTACACGGAAGAACTAAACTGTATGGCGTACCGTCAGAAATTCCCGCGGCTCGAGCCGAAAAACGTGCAATTTTGGTTCAAAAACCGCCGCGCCAAATGCAAACGGTTAAAAATGTCCCTGTACGACGTACATTCGGGCCAGTTCCACCACGAGCGTGAGTAAAAACAAAAAGAAACATTGCCAAAGCTTTAAGACAATAAATGCGACCGAAAGTATCGGCCGATGATAACTCTTGCCACGTCTTTGAAAATGCGGTCATGAAAAAAAAAATAAACTGCACAATAGATATCTACGCGTACACGGTTAAGGAGAATATCAAAATTTCGATTAACTCGATTCTTACGACACGGGTGTTGGCTTCTTTTAATTATTATATCGTTAGGCAATAGAAATTAAATTCAATGTAATCCACAGAATCGACGCGATTAAGTAGTAATTGTGTTTACGTTCCCCATAAGTCGAACTTCGCAGAACCCATTTTTTTAAACGTTCCACTAGGTACTGCCCCTTATTTTAGTGGTGTATATAAAATTAAAGTACTAAACCTCATTATGCCAGTTTACATTGATAGTACACGTTGACTTTTTATTGTACCAAAGATTGTTAAAAATTTAATTGTAAATTAAAACATGTTAAAGAAAACAGTATATTCAATATACTTTAAAAAATGTATCCTTTATTTAAAAACTATACTCTAGGTGTTATTCGTGTGAATAAAGTGATGTGTGATAAGCCATATATATTATATTAAAACATACCTTTTGTTATATTTTTGTTTTTTAATTTGATTTTTAAACGCATTAATAAAAATATCTTCTACGTAAATATCTCGCAGTTTTATTATCCCCGCACCTAATCCAAGTAGCTCTTAAAGCTGCAATTTTGCAAACCAATAAAGAAGGTTTTTAAAACAAAGCAAAAAACTGATTGAAATAGTAATTACGATCTCTAAAACGATTAAACATAATTACAAAATAAAATGAACCATATTGTTATAAAACATATTTATATAATCTTCAGGAGGTTCGAAAATATATGCAGTTAAAATTTGACTCCTAACGATATTGAGGTTAGTTTCGAATAAATTATCAAATAGGTGCCAATAATAAACAGGCAATTTTTTTAAAGTCCTCTCGAAATTACCCTCAATATCTGAAACGTCTGGAATTATTATACGAGGGCAGCGCCAAAATTTCCCGGCCTGAATATGAAAGAAACAAAGTAGAGTAACCATTTTTTATTATTTTTCAATATAATCCCCCTTAACTTCAATACACTTATTACATCTCTTTATTAACAACTCACTCCCTTTAAAAAAATATTCTTTTGGTTTGCCTGCAAAATGAGCTAAAACAGCTGGTTTAAACTCAACTTCGTCGTTAAGTAAGTAAGTCCTTTTTCAAATATCCAAACAAATAATAGTCGCTTGGGGCCATATCTGGACTATAGGGAGGATGATCTATCTGTTGGAACCCATACACTCTAAAATGGCAGCTTGTGCAACACCAGCAGTATGAACAGATGCATTATCGTGCAAAAGACGCACGCTCATGGTCAGTTTTCCTCGACGTTTTACACGTATGCAGTCTCGCAATTTATGTAATAATGTTGCGTAAAATTTACCACTGACAGTGGTATTAGTTTCTTTAAAATCTTTCAAAAAAATTCCTTCACAATCCCAAAAGATGGTGGCCATCACCTTTTTTGTTGACTGGCAGACACTGAATTTTCTTGGAGGTGCTTCACCCTTACGACGCCACTCCGATCGAGGGTCATAATAAAGAACCATAGTTTCATCTCCAATAGTTTCTATCACAGGCTTCGGTTCCGACCCACAGAGTTCCAAAAAAGACCGCGCACACTCGACACGGCGTTGTTTTTGAATAGCCGAAAGGTTTTTAGGAACCCATCTTGCAATTAACCTTTTGCATACTTAAATGATCATGCAGGATTCGACCAACACTTGTATCAGAAAGCTTAGTAATTTCTGAGATTTCCTTGACCTTTAAACGTCGATCACTCAATACCACCTCTTCCACAATCGCATCAATATCTTCCGTTATGACCTCCACTGGTCGACCAATTCTTGAATCATCTTCAAGGGACTCTTGCCCCATTCGAAAACGTTTTAATCATTCTTTCACTACAGAATACGAAGAAGAACTTTGGCCGTATACACCATCCAGCCTTTTTTTTAATAATTTTAAGTGCTAACGGATATATTTACATCATCTTCGAGAATATTCGGAATTATTTCCAGCTAAAGTTTGATAAACCTACGACGACACCTAGCATTATACATGTTGAGGTTAATTTCGAATACATTATTAAATAGGTGGTAAAATTCTATTATCATTTTAAATAATTTATAGCTGACATTTTTTTGAAAATTCTTTGGAAATTAACCTCAATTCTTGAAACGTTAGGAATTACTATATACTGACGTTCGGTGAATTTGATAGGAAAGTCTCACGGTTCAGGCCAAACCCAATAAATATCGCTTTGATAGGAATAGGGATACCCTGACAGTGCGACAAAAGCGAATTCCACCACCAAAAATTTGGTCATCCATTTTAAAGGATTCGATCTGTTCTACAATTTTAAAATAACGATTTTATACCAATTTATACGGTCCCTAAAGCAAACAAAATAACTAAACGAGCTAATTTTCCAATAAAAAATTTTACCAAATAAAAATTCCCCAGTGACACCCATCCTTAAACTTTTACGTCACCTTAAAATTTATGAAAAGCTTTTTGCGACACCCTTCTGTAAAATAAATAATTATATACCGATCGGACTTTTCGGACATTTCCGGCATGTTGCCGCACGGATTTGGGAGCAATCGGATGTTTTCTTAGATTTTACCGCACGACTGTAATTTTGACGGTCATGTCAGTGAATATATTCGTATCGTTTTCCAAAAATGTACCCAAAAACTAAAGGCCGTAGAAAAAGTATAATATGAAACACGTTTGGTAAGCTTTTAACTATTTTAACGCTATTTTTAAAATTTGGTCACAAATGTGGCAAAATATTATAGAAGACCTATGAAAAACGAGAAATCACGTAGTGAAAATGCTTTTATTTCAATTTATTCAACTTAATCCACAACAATAATAACTACACAGCAAAACTTGTAACTGCTACACTTACATTATTATATATAATTGAACGGAGGTGGCTTTTACTTGATGATAATCCATTCTTCAAAATAAATAAGAGCTAAAAGTTCAGATTTTCACGAAATTCGTGAAACATAATATTTCGCAATGTGTGGTGATGCATCGCAGTTTCTTGCACAGGTAAAGAACATGTAAGCGTTTAATAGCGGCGCACTCTTTCAGGGGTTCTGTTACATTGTTCACAAGAATTTCTGTCTGCAATATATTGTGTTTTTGCAATATTTAAACTTAGCTTTAACGATTTGAGGATATTTTTAATGCTCATCTTTACCTTTTCTCTGACTTCTGACCAAGTTAAGAAGAAATAAGTTTGCCATCTAGGGCAGAACTGTATAGGCTGTCCAAGTAAATATTAAAAACTATGGGTCCCGTTACCGAACCCTGTGGTATGCAGTGTTTAACTGTCCCTATCTCGCTCATAGTCTTCCCGATCTTCACCTGTTGTGGGCGGGCGGTAAGGTAGCTCCCAAGAACCTCCAACACAATCCCACTCACTCCGCAGGCTCCTAAAGCCTTAAGCAACAAGGTATGGGAAACTCTGTCAAACGCGTTCGCAAAATCGATTATTCATTTTTTCTAGGACTCTATTCACAAATTCAAACATTACATCCGCCGTGCTGGTTCACTCTCTGACACCAAATTGGTTTTTTGACATGATGCTATTTATATGCAAAAACTCGGTCAGACGCTCTTTTAAACATTTCTCAAATACTCAAATAGGTCTTTATCTTTGTCGCCGACCTACTACTACGACTTGCGGAGCAGTTATTTTTTAGACTTTTTATATACTTTACCTCATTTGTACTTGTAGGGCTTAGAAACATTGACGCATTTGCAATGTTTTTAATTTTAAAACGCTTTCGTCGACGATATGTCGCCTGCGATATTTTTCTCCAATACTTATAAAATAATCGTTAAATATTTGATATTATTTGCGTAATGTCACAGTTTTTGTCCAATTCATTGGTCATTTGATATACTTTTTTCATGGAGTTTTCATGAAGTTTATTTTTATAAGAATCATTTTTCGTATCTTTTATAATTTTATTTATTTATTTATTTATTTATTACAAGTTTAGGTCGCAGTAGTTATTACCAAACAATAGCAACCACAATGTTAGTTCAAATCGGTGTATTTGATATATCGTTTAAACTGCACCTGAGACATTGAAGAGATGTCGAGGTTAAAATTCGAGTTAAGTGTATTATACGAACTTTGCATTCGACAAAGAATATGGAGAATCAATTTGTGAGTTTGGTATTTTGTAAAGCATACACAAGTCTGTCACTGTCAGTTTTTATCTTCCAAACTGAGTATTTTGAACCGATTTTTAATTGGACGATAATCTCTTTCTTCTATACGAGTGTGGGTCTTAATAGAGAGAAATTTTAAGAATTTATTTTGAGTGTTCTCGATTCTGTTGATATGAACTGCGTAGCGCGGATTCCAGATAACAGTTGCGAAGGAAATCCTACTTTGAATAGAAGCATAATAAGAGGAAATAAGCGTTCTTGGATCATTGAAGTCCTGGGAATTTTTATGAATAAAATCGACCATTCCATTAGAATCATTTATTATTCTTTCTATATGGTGTTTAAATGACCACTTTGTGTCATGTGTAACTCCCAGATCCCTTAGTTCGTTTACTCTTACCAGGTCATTGTTATTTATTTTATAAGTAAAATCTATTTTGTTGACTTTTTTGGTGAACGAAATACTGTGACATTTTGCAGGATTTAGAAAAAGCTGATTGTCACCGCAGTATGTTTCAAGCCTGATGAAATCCTGCTGCATTTTAAGGCAGTCCCTGTGGGTCGCTACGATACGAAATAATTTCAGATCGTCTGTTTCTTATATTGTTGAAATATATAATAAAAAATAGTGGACTCAGGAACCTGGGTGGACTGGTGGACTGGTGGACCTTGAGGGACTCCAGACGTTGCATGAAACGGGTCTGACACATGTCCAGTAAGCGACACAGCGCTCTCTCCCTCAGAAATATATGATTGTGACCATTTCACAAGTGGGCTGCACACTCCCTCCCCAGCAAGTCTCGTCAACAACAGTTGGTGGTTAATTTTGTCAAAAGCCTTGCTGAAGTCGGTGTACACAGCATCGATTTGAAATTGGCGGTCTATATGGTTGGATATGTAATCGGAAAAGCACGGCAAGTTTGTCTCCAAAGAACGTCTCGGGAAAAAAATGCTGCTCCTCAATGATAATATTTTTAACGGTAGGTAGTATACGACTGTAAACTATTTTTTTCAACATTTTATCAAACACACATAATTTACTTATTGGTCTGTAATGTTTTGGATATTATTTTTTGATCCACTCTTAATTTTATTTAACTTATTTCTATATTCATCTTACTTTTGTTTTTCTTTTGTAATTTTGTTACATAAAATTCAAATAGCCTTGTACGATCCCATTTTTAAGATGTTCCCATTGACTTACATAACTATACCCAAAACGGAAAAACTCACTAACGCTCCTTATATCCTATAAATCGACAAGAGTCCGATTGACCCGGTTCTGGAGACAAAATCACGACCCTAGGTGCGAACATCGGGGTGACGTACTCGGTTCAAAAACCGCAGACATGTTTACATGCCCCGCGCGTTCC